CAACACTAGAGGATTCTGAGTTGGTGGCTCATCTAGCCCAAGGAGACAAGGTAGCACAAGATACCGAGTATCATCCCAAATGCTTCACAAAACTTTATAACAAAGTGAGACAAAATGAGTGCTTAACTGAATCAGGCAGTGATAAATTGATGTGTGAAGATCTAGCGTTATTTGCTGACGTGCTAATATCCATGCAGAATAAACTTTGCGAATTAAATAACTACGTGGTTAGAATGGCACGTCGCTGTTTTAGGACTATTTTCTGTGGCGCATTACCGTAGAAGATTTTTTGGAAAACCTGGGGCTTTACATAAAAAGCACATGTCCTGCAAAAGAACCAAAGAGCACGCAAAGCGAGTTCTTTTCTACTTTTTTTGACGATAAAGGTTCGTATTCTTTCCCAAAATGCTCGTCTTTTTCACTTTCGTTTTCTTCTTGGAGTTTTTTTTTAAATGTCTTTTGAATCCATCTCCAGTATCTCTATGAATTGTGCATGCCAAATTGCATTATGTTTTTGGAAGGTCATCTGTATTCTATCTCCTTCATATTTAGAAAATCAGCTGCGTGTCCAGATGGAAGAACACGTCCCAATTCGCTCAGTTTCGAAAGATTTGCAGCAATTATTTCATATCTTGTATTAAATTTTTTGACCTGATTATTTAGAGGGTTTCTAAGTCGTCTTCCTTTTACCTGGAAAATACAACAGTTTTCCCAATGTACAGGAACAGTTTACCCAATTGATGATTTTCCTGCTATAATTGGTTTTGCTTTTGACATTTTCAGTCTTCAAATTTTTGTAGACACGCTTCTTCAAATGACTCCACAAGAAGAAGTCCAGAGGAGTCATATCAAGAGATCACGGAGGCCATTCTAATGCACTACGTCTTCTCATCAGCCTCCCTGTAAGTGGATGTTTAGAAACTGCCTAGCGTCTCTTGAATAGACGGGCAAAGTACCAGATTTCACCTACATTTCTATTTTGTTGAATGGCTTGAACTATACGATCTCTACACAGAAAAAAATTCATCATGGAGAGTTAAATAAATCATCTATTTGGCCCATATTGAATTAAGTCAATATTGTATATATTTAAAACTATATTCCAAAGCATAATACAGAGTTTTTCAGAGCAGCTTTTCCATACTGGGCCGCAATAGTTATTTAAGTATTAAGGGCGGTAAGTGTCGTTTACCGCCCGAGATTGTTTGAAGACCGACGCGTAGCGGAGGTCTTCAATATTCGAGGGCGGTTAACGACACTTAACGCCCAAAATACTTATTACGTTTTATGCACGATCGGGCTATTCCAGTTCAAAAACTTAATTTATAGAATGGCATCCAATTGACATTTTCAAAAATAGAATTGTCTTCCTCCTATAAAGGCGCGTTCCCAATGAAAAATTGGCAACTTTTGTATTTGCAACGCTTCCAAAAATCACAACTCTTATTTCCATGGTTATCCACCACCGCACATTATCTATAACAATTATTATTATTATTATAGTTGGCTGGACTACTTGTTTCTAATGGTTGGTATGGTTGTTATGGTGCTTCTCAAATTGTTTATTTGTGTTAGTTACGCAAAACTCGCTTTCAAACAATACGGTTGCAAGCTGCAAATACGCTTTTTTGAAATTTAAGGAGAAATATGAGTGAAAATAGTGATAGTGAACTGGAAAATGCTTGGAATATTGGTTGTGACGCTGTGATTCCGGAAAAATCAAGGCAACGGTACGAAAAAACCTTTGAAATCTTTAAGAAGTGGTGCGTTGACAAAAACTGGGCTGTTTCGGAGAAAGTGCTTTTGGCATACTTTGTACACCGAAATCAGAAGTTAAAATCACCTGGAAGCTTATGGGCTGAGTATTCCATGCTGAAGGCGACACTTTTTCTGAAGGAAAATGTTGACATTTCGAAATACGCAACTTTAATTGCCTTTCTGAAAAGAAAAAACGTTGGCCATACACCGAAAAAATCTAAAGTTTTCACAAAGGAGGATTTATACAGGTTTCTAATGGAGGCACCAGATGATAGATACTTGATTTTGAAAGTGAGTTAATTTACCTGTGTTTTTAACAATGCAAAGAATTAATTTGTTGTTTTTTCGTAGATAGGCATGATATTTGGTGTAGCTGGAGCATGCAGAAGGGAGGAATTATGTAATTTGACTTTACAAGACATAGATAATCAGGAAACGTTCATTTTTGTTAAAATACCCAATACAAAAACCAATATTCAAAGGAGTTTCACCATCACTGGTAAAGAAGACCAGCGAGTGGATTATTTGGAGATTTGTAGGAAATATATCGAACTACGACAAAAAACCGCAAAATCAAACAAGTTATTCTTAAAAATTCGAAACGGCTTTTGCACTAATCAAGTTGTAGGAAAGAATACCATAGGAAAATGGCCAGCACAAATTGCCACATTTTTAAATTTGCAAAATCCTTCTCAATACACTGGGCATGCTTTTCGCAGAACTTCTGCGACGCTTCTTGCAAATAGCGGCGTAGAAGTATTAGCTCTCAAAAGACATGGAGGTTGGAAATCCTCGACGGTTGCCGAGGGTTATATCGAGGACTCCATAGAGAGCAAATTGAAATTCGCAGACCAAATTTTACACCAAACTCCTTCAACAAGTGGTAAGACTTCGATCCAAACAACATCCAGACAACTAAACGATGAACCTCATCCTGTTTCTCTGATAAATGATACAGAAAATACGGTTGTTCTTGATAAGCACATAAGAAAAGGAGGTGTTGTGATAGATAATTCACATAACTGTATATTTAATTTGTATGTTAACAAAAAATAATAATATTTAAATTCTATTAATATTAAACCTATGTACTATAGTTGTTGAGGTGCATAATAAATTATAATTCTTGTTTTATTTCTATTTCCATAGTTGACAACACGGATTAAATTGAACTAGTGGCCTCCACCAATATTCGAGAGTGTTTGATGACACGAAAATAGCGGGCGGTAAGTTCAACTTACCGCCCGCAAACGCGGGCGGTAAGTAGTACTTACCGCCCGCTCGTGCATAAAAGTGTATAACATGCCTGCTGAGATTTCCCAAGTTCAAAGCAATTTGAGCTTTGGGATAAAACTCAAAGAATATGTCTGTAATAATAATTTGTCGCTATAGAATAGCTTTACTGCTATGGCTGTGTGTAGGTGTTAGGTTGTAAGGTTCTAGATTAGGTGAGTGTAAGCTAACAAACGCTTTTAGCGTCCTTGTACTCTTTGTGATTTATGCAATAAACGATTATTTATTTATTTATTTATTAAAATCCGCTCCTTTCAAACAAATCTATCTATTTGCCCTAAATTGCCCATTTATTTGAGCACTAATAGATTAGACCAATAACTTATAAATTTGATACAAATGATTCATTAACATTTATCATACAAAATAAAAATATATTTAAGTTAATTAGTTAAAGTTTTGACCAAATGAACAGGATATTACATCAAATCAAAAAATATAAATAATATTTAGAAACTAATAGTTGCTTCAAATAATGAAAATTAGCCATTAAATAAATATTTATTTGTGTAACAAAATGAAATTTGTGGATTAATTATTACTTTTTCAATTTATATATTTGAAGTAATTTTTTCTTTATTTGGAGGGCAACGCTCTAATTTATTTAATCTTATGTAAATTTGATTTGAACATGCAGTTTTTGGCTCGTCTTTGCTATATAGTTGCATTCGTTTGCGTTTCCAGTTTCAGAGTTTCTCTATTGTTCAGTCTGGTTCTGGAAGTGCTGTGTGGAGCCACGCGTGATCGACGTGATACCGGTACCAAACCAAACATTGAACATTCTTGTGATAGAACATTGTGAATAATTTGTGTTTATTTCAGTTTTCGAGAATTGCGTTTAGTTTTGTTTTATGCAATATTTGTTTCCACTTAGATCTAAGTAGCTGTTTTGTTCTTCACCAAAAAAAATTTACAAAACCTTGAACACAATATTTTATACCAATTAGGTATAATTTGGACTAGGTATACCTACTTTTTTTATTTTGTACGAATAGTTTTTTCTTTTTTTTTTCAATAATTTTCTCAATATGTGCTGTTTTGTTTGTGAATATTTTTTTAAATAAATTTATTTTTTTCATATGAACATCATCTTTTTCCCCTGGAACCTTGAAATGTGGTGAAAAATATTAAATAAGCATCTGATTATTTGAACAACTTAAATATTTGAAACAAATAAATGATATATTTATTTCAAGACATATTAATTTAAATAAAATAGATATTCTGGTTTTCTTTAAAACACAGAAATTAAGCCAAATACCTGATCTTTGTATTTAAATACATAAAATATATGTGATACATTTAAATAATAATTTGGAATAACCGCTAATGCAAAGGAAAATTATTTAATGTATATTTCCCGTTATCTAATATGTGTTTACATTAAATAAGTTTTTCTAAAAAAATTCAACTATATTATTAACTTTAAATTAAACTCATATGAGTTTCTCCTATATCAAGAATATATTTAGTTAAATGAACGCAAAATTTAGTTAACTTAAACGTTTTCTTTTTTCTGTGTAAGGAGCTCGAAATACTTCTGTCTTGTGTACTTTATGTTGTTAGCCAATATTTCCGCTCATACGTTAACAGATATTCGGGGATGAAGTTCTCCTATCCAATGGGGGTTACCTCTACACCAAATTCTACAATTGTGCCTATTAACTTGGCCTTCGAACAAAAAGTAGCTTCGTCGCTGAATAAAATTTTATGCGCAAACTAAGGAAAAAAAGCTTGTAAAATATCCGCAAGTAAGCTCTAATCTACGTGCTGTTTGTTTCATTCAATGTCCGTCATTAGACATTTTTGAAAGAACAAACATCATTATAGTTTAATAAAAAGCTATTAGGTACCCTAAAAACAAAACGGCAATTCGACAAATAATAAGTTATATCCGCTGCAGTCATAAAATTATAGGGGCTTTGAGCTTCTAGCCATTCTATGTTTCAATTTTGGTGTGGTTCTATAGTGGTAGGTAATTTATCAGAACTTGTGGATCTGTGATGGAAAATTTATTTTGATATGCTGATATTGGGCAAGTACTTTCCTATTAGAAATAAGGCTATCAATCACAATATTTAAATAAAATACTTTTTCATAAACACCATTGAAACTTGAAAGAAGATTTTCTCAAGCTGGTTCTAGAATATACTGATGCTCATTTAAATCATACTACTTACTTTGAAAGTAAAGTAATTTTGATCAAATAAATAGTGGTTTTTGGTCATAAAACTTCTTAAATAAAATATACTTTGCTGCTAGTTTCGTTTCAATATTTATTGTAAGGGACAGGCTATTTCGCTTTTACCCAAATCACCCTATTACCCTTCTCACAGACTGAAATGACAACTTGTAACACATGAATAATCTATGCATTTTTGATGTGTCCACCATAATGTTCGCTACCTGTGGAAAAACTTTTTTTTGTGGGATATGCGATTTTTTTTATGTAAGATCGAATCTGCATGTCCGATAATCTGCTGAAATTCCATTTTGACATCGGTCACGTGATCACTTTCGTGGGGGAAAATTCGAAAATTTTGATTTGGCAACGCGAAAAGTGGGATTTGATGACGAAATAGCGGAAAGAGTTATTTGGAAAGGAAATTTAGAACGATATTTTAGGACTGTCTACGAAATTTGGAGCAAAAACAACAAAAAACAGGATCTCTAATCAAATAATATTATATAGTTTTTGTTTTTATTATTAAAAAGGCACAAGTAACGCAATATTTAATGTGTAATTGTGAAACAAATTTAAATTCCTTATTGAAATCATTCCTAAAGAAATACCTAAATGGAAATATTCGATTAGCACATGAAACTTTTCTGTGGCAATATCCTGTATCTTGACACTGACAGCCCTAAAATATCGTTCTAAACACTTTTTCCAAATAACTTTTTCCGATATTTTGCCATCTAATCCCACTTTTTTGCATTTCCATATCAAAACTTTCGAATTTGCCGCCATAACTATCCGCCAACCAATGGAATTATAGATCGGTAAATTTATCTTTCAGATAGTTGCCAGCAAGTTTATCTAAAGATAAATAAACCGGCCCTGAGTATTCTACAAACGCCATTGAAATAGTGGTACCTATCTAAATAACTTGAAGGCAAATTCAACTATGATAATAATTCTATATGACTGCAAACTACAAAATTTTGAAACAATTTGGTTATAACGTTGATATAGCAACCTCTGCCGATGTTTTGCGGCCATCATTGATACAGGCTTTCCGGGGTGCGTAAATACATTGCTCACTGCGGTACAGCTGAGCCTTATACCCACACGCATTTTAATTACATCATTTCTTACTGCAATGTAGCGAAACGCTCTGCTGTAACGCAGTAGCATTTACGAAATTCACGCCGGCGCGTGGAACATTCTTCACTGCATGTCAGCTGGCTCGTGCAAGTGTTCGGCGCTTTTTTATTTGTTGGTATATGCGCGTGGCTATCATTTGTTATTATTCGGTTAGTAGGTTAAAATCTACTTATGTCCAGGATTTTTTAGAACAATGTCGGAAAAAAGTGTTTCAAATCAAATAAAATCATTTTGCTACCAAAAAGATTTAATCACTGAATATGCCTATAAAGATAGCAATAAGTATTTTGCTACGATCACGATCAGCACTAAAATGGAGAAAGAATATGTGGAACCCAGTGAATAGTGTGACGATCAGCTAGAAAATACATATATCCAGGGTCGGCGCAAGCGACTTTGGCGCCCTATGCAAATTCACTGTCTGCCGCCCCTGATCAACTAAAAATACAAATATGCATGGCTATTTTTAAAAATATGTTTTATAATTTTATTAATGATTGTACATAATATAGGTATACCTGACTCACAGAATATAGATTATAGAATATCATCAACGTAAAAAAAACCATATACACACATGCGCAGGCGCCGGCGGAGGCGAAAAAACCCTGTTCTGGTGCCACGTCCAAAACGTTAATTTTGTGCCAAAAATATCCATAATATAAAATAAGTAGTTTTTGGACACCCGCCACCCGTCGCACGACCCCTAGCGACTGGCAGAAACACTTATAGCAGCATGTGCTCATGAGAAGGGCAAAGTTTGTGTTGAAATGAAATCCTAAATAATGTGAAAAAAAAAATCCGAATTCAAAAGATCTTTTTTTGTTGCCTTTTTGCCGCCCCTTTAAGTTTGCCGCCCTAGGCGATCGCCTAGTTCGCCTAATGGTTGCGCCGACCCTGCATATATCATATATCGTAAAGTGTTCAAAACCCATCACAATAGTTTTGATAAAGTAAAAGAAAGAAAAAGGAGTTATTCGCGCATACGAATTCTAGGTCATTACACGACTGTTGATACGTGATACGTTCACTATATAGGCACTAGACAACAGTAATAGTACCATTTATAATTCATACCCGCCGGATTATGATTTCATCATACACGGATATGGATTTTAGATTTGGTCGGATGTGTGTGTTTAATTTTGCTATTTTATGAGTAGTGTGCGTCCTTTAAAATTTTGACGTCATATTTTTTAGGTAGGTATATTTCGATCACAGTCATAACGTTGGTTGCTGAAGCCTTTAGTTATTTACGTATGACACTACATACACAGAAAATACTCTCAAATATAAAGGTTTTTCTTTTTTATAAGCTTTTGCTCTATTTGTCAGAGACATCCGAGGAGAAAACCTTTGTTGTGGCGCAGTAAATATGGCTGTCAACACAGTTTACCGTGGTACAGCGGCGATTGGTGAACTTAGCTGTACTGTGGTAAACAAAGTATTTCCGCTTCAGGCGTATTTCACTGGAGAAAAGACTCTATCCAGTTGGCACTGTTTTTTCAGGGTTTTAAACACCCTGGACAAAATAGGTATTGCTCTGGTCGTCCAGTGTCGCAATGATACCTTGAACAAAGACACTCGTCAGTTTATTCTTGATAAAACCGTGATGAAATTCTGTCTCTAGACGACTAATTGTGTAATCTCTAAAACTCAGTTTGGAAAATATAATTCCCGAGATTTTTGAACGAGAGCATCCGGCAACGTCGGTGATTTTTTTGAGGGCGATATGTGATCTAAGGCCTGGGTGTTTTCGGGTATGATTTATTGTTTCAACTTACCGAAAATAGCACGCTGTGTATAGGTGCGTCGAACTTTGCGAAAATTTCGCGTTCGATTAATATACCTACCTGTGGAAGAACGACGATGTCGATGAAGCTAAAGGATGGTTACGCCCTGTTGCCGATACTAAAACTAAAGCATGGTTAGATTATTAAGATAGTTATAGATAGAACTAATTTTGGAGCACATCAAAACTGTGATAAGGCAATTGATAAAGTGCTAGCAGTGGGAAATCGAATGTAGATAGAACCTGACTTTTCCAGTGCTAATCGAGAAAAGCTATGGAAAAATGTAAGAGAAATGAATGTTTCATCAGAAACACATCGGAAAACCACTTGATTTTGATAGGGTTAGTTAGACAAAATCGTTCCCAATCAATCCAATTTCATAAACTTTTAAACTGTAAGACGACCACGCCTAGAATGGCAACCTTGTTCTTATTCATATTTATGCACAAAACGAAGACAGAACATGGGATTCGACCGATTTTGATTAGTCCTAGTGTGCTCTGTTGCTTTTTCGTATAGATATAGGACGAGGTACCCTGTGTTTAGTTTTTAATCGTGTTTTATTTAAATCTACTTTGAAAATCAGTTCAAGTTCAAATTAACAACACTTTAGAGCTATAAAAAAATTGGGAGTATCATTTTTTATGGAACTAAAAATATAATATATTTAAATTATTTAATTAAACCATTCATAAACATAGGTTGACTTTTTCGGTCTCAATTGATTATATGATGGCGTATCACGAGCGTCATCAATTGATAGCATTAAATTAAATCTTATAATACCTACCTACTTATTTAAAGGGATAATATGTGTGACATCTATTTTTAGATACCTACACAAAACAATCAAGGGGAATTGATAATGACCCATCACGCACACAACAGCGTCTCTTTTGTATTAACAATAACATGTTATGTCTGCAAACATTGTTTGCTTTAATTCAGCCATAGGCAATAATAAAGAGGGATCATGATTCGCATTTGGGTAATTTTTTACTTGTGCCGAAAATTGACTCCTTCCGCATTCGTTGAAAACGTGTAAAAGAATTATCGCGAAAGTTATGTCCATATTTGAAAATACAACAAAGCGATGACCTCTAAATGAATCCAAATTTGTTTCTACATAGGAAAACTAATCATGATTAAATTATTTTAAGAAAGAAAAAAATTAGGTATATGTATTCTCTATTTTTGGCAAAGACAATAAGATTGGAAAAATAAAAATGAAAGCATGGTAGCAACTACATATTTTTCTTGGTATAAGTATATAAGGTAGTCCTGAAATTATTCTACACAAATTTACAGTGCAAATGCACCTCCCAAAAATACGATTACATTACGTAGGTACATTAATCTATCTAATTAGGCAATCCAAGACCAAGTAATAGAACTCCTTGAACTACATATCTATTTCCAAACCAAAAAAACTTTTATTGAAAAAATTGGTTCTACAAAATTGAGTTATAATTAACGCTTCTACTCTTATTCAAACTGACTGACTTACAAACTACGCGCTTTATGTACATAATCATTTAATCGAGAAATCTCTAGAATCATGTAAAAATGCTTGTAAGATGATTTTTATTAATAACTAGTTGATAGCCATGCCTCTGCCAAGCAATGTGAATAAATGTCATCAAATATTGTCGAATAAATTCGTCCGACACATGTTGAAATAGGAACCAAGTAAACTTAGCCAATGCCACCTCGATAACTTGCATATATTTAGTATGGCGCATTTGTGAAAAACATCTTGACTTCGTAGGTACAATTACTATATGTTTTGGTTGTGTTTTTAATTTTTTTTTTTTTCGAATAGCAGATCCCTCATATTTCATATTATTGGTATTCAATTGTCAAATTTAAAGCGCAACTCATAAACCCTTTTCACGTGGCTCCGGTTTAACAAAC